TTCTGCAAAGCTCCTTTCCAAAGCAAGGCTCATAGCTGCACCTCTCATCTTGCATCTCTTAGGAAACAGGCTGGAGTCACTCATCTGAATCAGTTCTCATTTGCGTTTTTGTAAAGTGTTGTAGTGTGACAGCTATCCCAGTTAAATTCCTTCCCGCTATCCTTTCTGGGGAAGGAAGGATAGCTCCTGCAGCAGCTGCCTCAGTAATGAAAAAATTTGGCTTGATAGTGGGCACAAGGGAAAATAAAAGAAGTTCCTCATGCTTCCCGTCGGCCTTCCTGAGTTGAGGTGGCAGGAAGATAATTACTTCAGTAGTGTCACCATAGCCTGAAGGAAATACAAAGAAAATAATAACAAATGTGTGTTTTAGGAGTAAACATAATACCTTGAGCCTCTCCATCTCATGTTCATTGTGCATCTTGTCTACATAAAAGCTGTTCTTGTTTGTTGCTTTTAGAGAGGGCACAAAGTTCCTGCCTTAGGAATTCATATAGGCTCTGCCATCGCCACCTCTAAATACTCCTCCAGCATTCATCCTCAGAGTGCTTCTCTGAGGTGGAGGAGTGTCATTATCTCAGTTGTGCAGATGGGGAACTGAGCCTATCAAGTCTAAATAATCTGTCCAGAAATCTGGCAAGTGTGAATCACTCTGAGTAGGCACTTAGCTACAAGGGAAGAAATACGGGCAGGAGAGGTTTTTAGCAGCTCAATTTGTCTGAACAGTAGTGAAGCATCCATCAGCTGCCCCAAGTACCATGAAGCACACGCCTGCCAGAGCAAAAGTTGTATTAGCTCCTTCCTCAAACATGCACATTTTCTTCCTTCTTATTGCTTCTCTCTGAGGAGATTATAATTTCAATTTTGAGCTATCTCAAGACTGGGTTTGGAAGGATATTTAAACCTGCAGACCAGCTTTCTATCGCAGAAGCTCCTTGCTTGTCAAGATTGCCTTTGGTTCCATTTGTGGCTTTTCGTCTTTTCCAGACGTTTCTTTCTGCCATGATCTCTCCAAAATGGAGTTTTTCACTTCTTCCTTTATCTTGTCTTTCTCCTCCTCAGTAGCAGAGGTCTCAGACTAATAGTGGAAAATCTTACCATGCTCAAATTTTTTTGATTGCGCAAATGGAACCGTATTGCAAAGTGATAGAGCTTCAGCACTTTCTTGTGTGGAGCAAATGGTTTCAGTGCAGGCTCCCGTGTGGAAGCCATGAGGGAAGTGTGCTGCCTGGCTGTTATGAAATGAAATGGTTATGAAATTGAATACTTCCTAAGAAGTATTCCAGAAACACTTCCACAGTTACTGTTTTTTACTTGAAGAACCTGGATAAAATGAGGTGTATCAATGAATATATACATTTATGCAGAAGTGAAATACTCTGATAGAAATAGGTATTTCAGCATGGCCTACAGCCTCTGGTAATTTCCAGAGACTCAAGGAGAACCTGAGTTACAATGTCTTGTTTCACGTAGGTTTGTAAATTAAATCGGTAGAAGCTGGATGCACCATATTTAATTTAGCCATCTTTTCACCCCAGCACTGTGCTACTAGTTTCCACAGTAGCTCCTGTGGAAATACAAGCCTTCTATTTTAAAATAATTAAATGTTAACACTTTTCTAATAAATATAAATAGGCGAGAACACAGTACAAAATTAGCACATATCCTGCAGATGGTAGAAAAAAACATTTTCACTTGTTAATAATGACAATGAGTAGCTGATTTCTGATTCTCTTGCCTTTCCCAAGTTAATTATGAATCCTTCCACAAAATTCTCTTTTAGCATTCTTCTTATTTGTTTTACTATCAGGAAAAAAAAAAGACATGAAAAATATGAAGTGTTAGCAAGGATAACACAGGAATCACACTGATGCCTTGTGGAGAAGGTGACATCAAGCAGCTGTAGTCAGATTCAACCTACACTTGCTCGTTGTTCTATTAGCTCCACCTGATAACTGGGTACCTGACTCAGACAAAATTATCTAAACTGGTATTTTTCTCATTTTGACCAACAAAATTCATCACAACTAGAAACACAGTTTCTGCCTATGAACAATAAGCTAGCTGAATTAGAAACAACTGTTTAAAGAGGCCCCTTATATGACTGTATCACCTGTTTTCAAACTGTATATACCATATTTGATTAAAAGGTAAAAGTGGATGATCCACTTTTAGAAAGCACATGATGGTAAAGAAATATAGCTATAAATAATGACAGGGGAAATTGTTTTTTTCCTGTACTGGCAGCCAGCCTGCTGCTTATTTTGGTTGACATTAAGGTGTCAAGAAATTTAGCTATCCTCTACTGAAAATATCTAAATTGTGAAAATTATCACATTTACAAAAAATAAAATTAAAAAAGCAAAAACTGACATTGTACATATATACTGTATGTAGATAGATAGACATAGACTCTGTATATTTTGTTCATATTTTCATTCACTGAATCAACAAGCCTATATTCCATTCCCGCAAAAAATTATAAGACCTTTTGTATATAATATTCCTTTCAAAGAAGCACTGGTTGTCGAAGTGTATTTGGCCCATGGTCAAGTTGGACATGAAAAATTTTTCATTTATTTCTGAGATTTTGGATTCCAGTATTCATTAGTGATGTCTTTAATTTCAGCTGTGGCTAGTTTGTGTTTTGGCTTGGTTGATCCTCTGTTGTCACCCCATGTAATGCAACATTATTATGTAGTTGTTTGACATTTCTGTTCCATTTTTAATAGATGCCACATGTTTATAATGAGGTATTTATAACCTTATTGATAGTCTGTCAGTGTTACTGAAAGCAATTACATGTTGTCCTCCTTGTATCTGTCTAGTTTGAGGTAGCTGCTGCAGTTTAAACCTCCTTTTGATTGCATACTGCTTATTAGTATGTGCCCAAGTTCTTGCCAGGTTGGTCAAGACATTCCAGAAGGTCCCTTTGGGCCTTGCATGTGTCTGCTGATCAGTGTAGTTGCAAGTTAGTGAACCTGCAGTGATCTGCAAAGCAGGTTTAAGGGAGTATTGTATTTAAATGGACCTTTTGGCTTACTTCAGTAGAAGATTTATTATGATTTTAATTTTTTTAGGTAATTCTGGCCAGTTCTTTATAATTTTTAACTTCCTAGTACAATGGCAATTCTTCTGTTGGCGGTTCCCAAAGTCAAAATCACACGCCTGCAGTTGTTTCCTATTTGTGGTGTTGTTTTCTAATTGGACTTTGTAAGGTATTGCACTTGTGATTTTTTGTGTAGTAGATCGTATTTAACAATATTATGGCAAGGGACTGACTATTTAGTACTTAGGATCTAGAAGCAGTTTATCAATTTAATAATTTTCTGCAAAAGTGCCCTTGACATTAGCTTAGTTACTGGAGTGTGTAAACACAGATGTGAAATTTTATTGTGATATAAACATTCATTTAGAGGTGGCAACTATTGGTAGCCCTATTGTTCTTTGGAAAGTTGATTTGAAAATGAGTAAAGGCTGTTTTATCCCACTCTGAGGTGACTTTCCCACAAACTTAAGAAAAGAAGAATCGAACTCTTCCGTGAGTTGCATTCTTACAGTATTTCACCTTGATGTAATTCTTAAAATCTCTATTATATCCCTTTTTTTTTTTGCAGATTTGTATTAGATTTTGATCCAGTTTTGATCATTTCCTAGTTATATTCAAGTTTTGAAATGGAGCAATGCAAGTATAAGGAAGCCTGACGAGTGAAAGGCCTGATTAATTAGCAGCTTTTGATATTTAGTATAAAAAGATAGGTAGGAAGATAAATGTGTAAAGTGGGTTTCTTTTGGAATGAAAGAGAGGATTTTGGCATTATATTAGCTGAAAATTAGATTATAAAGATATAGTAGGTTTTAGGTTCAGGTACGTATCCTGGATATCACAACTGTTTCAAATAGGCAGTGTGAGAAGCCATCTATGTGCTTAAATTGTCGTGATGGTGTAACCATGGTAATACTGCTGCTACAAGGTTGACATAAATTTGGTTCAATATATGCTTAGCTAGGAGAATAAGACTGCCAGATGTTATCGGGGGCTCATAACTCCAGTACTTAAGGAAAATGGAGGCATGGCATAAATGCAGAAAGTATACAAATGCCTGTTTAAGATGCAGGTCTCTGAATTAGTTTCTCCTCCAACATCCAGTCACGATGTCCTGGGAAGTCAAGGAAATTAGGAAGGTTAAGCGTGGAGATAGGTAACTGCTAGCATAGAACACAACTTTCAAAAGTGCTTGTTTTAATTTTGGCAAGAACAGATGTTCATTCATTTCTTGCTTAGTTTCTCCTCTGCAGATAAGCAATTTCTCTCTAATAACTTTAAACAAGTGCTTCGAGGAACTTACCAAGCACAGAGGCAGATGACTTACAGACTTCAAGCTTAATTTTTTTTTAAATAATAGATTTAGGATAAGATTCACAATTTTCAAATCTGCTTGTTTAGGCATTAAAATTGGCTTGTGTGTTTTAAATGCCTTTCATTCAAAAGGGAGATCTGAAGGGTACTACCTCTGATAAACCTTTCCCACTCTTTCTTTAAATGGATGTAATTGTAAGTACAGTATCCCACCACAATCAGTTTTAAAAGTTTAAATCTTTTGTACTGATTTACTTCTAATTCGGTGTTTTAAACAACAGTTGTTTTCAACATTAACAAAATTATTTGTGTGCTGAAAATTCATATCTCTACTCTGGATTGAAGCCAATGGCTGAATGAGGAATTATATATCATAGTTTCTTCAATGTTTAAGTACAGAAGCCTTTTCAGTTCCCAAAGGTTACTTAATAGTTTGACTCCCTCCCTTTGCTTGGGGTACTTTTAAGCAAGGTATTCTTCAAACTCTGCCCTGAGTTTTGTGAGCCAGTGAGAATTTCATATAAAATGCCAAACTCTGTCAAATCTCCTGTAAGTCTCTAGTAAAAACATGCATTTTGTCTCACAGCTCAAACTTTGCATAGAATAGTTTATGATTCCTTGCTGTTACATTTAAAATCTTATTATGGGGAAAAAAGGAAACCAAGGATTTGTTGAACGCAGGAAAACTACTGGTTACTGTTACCTTGATAAATTTAAGCTTATGCCGCACCATTATGCAAAGCTAAGCCAAAACAAAACAAATGAAGCCACCTGGTCTGCAGAAGCTGTTGCTAGAGTTCATCAAGCTAACGATCTAAGTGCCCCAACACAGCTTCAAGCAACTCAACCTCAGAGGTCTCACCAAGGTACTACAAAACCTCTGGCCCGTTACTAGCAATGGCAGTGGCACAGTTAGTGGGCTACAGGGCTACTCTGCTTTTCCACCCTAGTAATCAGTTACTTTAAGGTTTTACAGAGAGTCTTCAGAAATCGTTATTGCATCATCATAATTTTTAGAAAATACTTTGAATATCTTTTTGTACTTCTCCAGACTAATAAGCTGACATTTCACAGTCAATGGATATGCTATAACAAGGCACAGCTGTGTAAGGAGGGAACACCATTGCACTTTACAGTACCATTCTACAGACTGGCAAAGTTTAAATTTCAGATTTAGTGTCACTTACAGAAAATATTGTCATAGTTTCTAGAGATGTAGAAGTGTTTTCCAAATAAATTCAGAGCAGGAATTAATTGGCATTTTATAGTCTTTTCTATGAACCCATTGTGCACTCACTTACTGAGACACTAAATCTTTGTAGCAATTTTCCTTGCCAACTGGGAAGGTAAAAGGCTGTACTACACCCGTAAGTTGTTGGGAAGCTGATTCCCAACCTATAGGCTACGACATCTTCAAGAGATTCCAGAGCTATTCAAAAGACATCCTATTTATAGCTCATATGTAATAGCAAATCTAAAAGTAATTTAATAAATTGTGTAATTTTGCTTCAGAAATTATGCTGTCTTATCAAATAACACTTATGCAAACAATATTGACAGTTCAACTGAATCATTTTATACAAAATCTATTACAATTTACTGTCTAATTATAAACCAATCTTTGCTCCCTTTCTCAATGTGCTGTCACTATTTTGGCTCTGAAAATAGGAAAACCCACTGATAGGATTTTTTGTATTCATGAAGAGTCATTGTCAACTTTTTCTGAATTAGCACATTAACTACTTCACCCTCTGCTGCTCCAAGTTAAATAAGGAGAGGTTTTTAAATAGATGCTTTCTAAAACCTTCTGCCCTGCTTTCTTAGCAACAGGCTGGGGCACTGATTTATTGTGTAAGGTGTTCTAGGTAAAAGGGAATGTACTGATAAAACAGTGATAGAAAACCTTCTGGGGTGCCGAGGTCTTGGCTGGGAGCACTGCGATGCCCCTGGCAGGGGCGTCCCTCTCTCCTCTCTCTTAAGGGTCTGTTTGGGCATGGTTTCATCAGTTTTCCCATCACAGTGTGCCTCCTTCTCCCTGCTTCCCAGGCAAATTCCTATTCACTTGTCCTGAATTTACCACACTCGGTTCCAGCACAAAACCCAAGGTGGTCCCTTTTTGCTCTTGTTTTCTTTCTGGCACTAGGATCACTCCCATGTATGAACCACATTAACTTCCAAGTCTAAATGGGAAATAACTATTTTTCTGTTGTACAATCAGTGAGATGCATCTTCTGTGAAAATTCATTCAAGTTGTTTTGATTCATATGGCAATGAAATCGATTTCATCATTTGCTTGTTAATATACTACAGAAAGGGTTTTTTTGGTTTTTTTTTTACTTTGGTCAAATATAAGTTTAAGAGGAAGTATCGAGGAAATTGTTCTGGAGTGACAAATAGAGGACATCTGTTGCAGCATATGGGTTGACGTAACAGCTGCATTGAACTTTTTCAGCAAGTACTAATCCTTTGGAAAAATTTAACTAGGCATATAATTTTGATTCCCCTGCCTGAATGATGGAGGATTAAAACACTTGCAGTTTAAAAACACTCTGTAGTTTGGAATGTTTGCCATTGTTACCACAGAATACTTAAATTTTATTTTGAAAATAGTTTTTGTTTAGAAACAGATCTGAATATTTCACTTTTTTGTTTACAAAATTAAAGTTCAAAGATATACTGAAACATTTTCATTTTGTGATGAAATTACTTTTTTCACTATTTTTTATTTTTAGGTTCAGAGGCCAACCTCCCTTCTTATCTCCCAAATAATCTTATTTTCAGTGCTGTCTTTATCTTAGATAACAATTTTAAGATTTGGCTAGTAAGTAAGTGTTTCCTCTTTTTATTTTTTTTTCCTAGCAACTGTACACTGAGCCTTTCATTTTGCACGTAGATGCAACTTTACAGATAGGACGAGCTTCCCAATTGGTTCTTGTGAGAAAGGAGTTTGGTACTTAGAGCTGTAACTTGGTGTTCAGTTTTAAGTATAATATTTTTGTTCTCTATATTAGGGCCTATTACTAAACATATATTTTGATTTTGGGTGCTAGAAAAAATTCTTTGGTAAAATACATGTGTAAGCACTGAAAAAAAAATCTTTGCATTCATATATGCATGCTTTTTTGATTTCCTTGTTTTCTGATAAAGTATTTAATTGGGAATGGTATTGCCGTTAGTTATGTGTTAGGATGAAATTTAATTTCAAAAGAGTTGATTTTTTTTCCTGTGTTTCTCTTGCGTAGAATTAATTGCTTTTGGTTCGGCTTCTGTGTTTTATGGGACCAGTTTAATTTTATCAGTTCAGAAAACAAGTTAAGCAGGAACCCCTGGCTTTTCCACAGTAACTTAAGTCAACTCTTCTACTAATTCCTCTAGTGTCTAACATTAAAGCTAATAACGGTCTAACATTCTTGTCTGACAGTTCTTCCCTTCCACAGTTACACATTATTTTAAAGTGTACAGCAGAAAGAGAGCAGCAATGTTAGGTCAAAATTCAGTCCCGTGAGAAGAATACAGACTTTTTCAGTTAATGCAATAGCATTTGGACAGGATTTGTTTGCAAGCAATATTAAAATTGGTCCCTCCTTTTTCTTTTAAAAAAATTCTAGATGTAATTTTGGAATGAAAAGAGCAGTAATTGAGAAAGAAAGAGTTACCTTTTCAGAGGAAATGCTTATATTGTATTGTATTATATGTAGTCATGTACTTACATGTAGTCAAGATCAAGCTGTGTTTGTTTATAATTAAAAAAAAAATCTTTATTTTCTGTGGAAGTTTTTGCTTTGTAAGGCTATGAGTGGCTGCAAAGGGAAAAAAAAATTACCTGGCTGCAGCTTCGCTTACTGTTCCTTAAAATCCTGCCTGCTTCTGACTTTCACTGAAACCCAGTCCTTCTCAATTTGCACTTTTCATGAGTCATCTTATACACAGATAGAAAACCACCTCTGTGCGTGTTAGTAAGTGAATTGCAGGAAGGTACGCATAGGTATTCATTCAGTAACCAGATAAATTATTTCAAGAAAATTGGTGGAACTTCCTCCTCTGTTATGCCAATTTTAAACTTGTTTTTCTAGTGTGCTTTTAAGGAGCTGTTTTATGAGCTGTGAATTGTCCAGGTGCCAGAATTCAGATCAGCCACTTTTTGTTTCCTACAGAAAGTCTGTTACTGAGACCGATTCATCACCCTGACGGCTGAGCTGGGTGTGAAGTCTTATTGCACTTGGTATTAAGAAACGTTGTGGTTAGCGTTCAGCATCTTTACAGCAGAACTGCAGTAATACCTCGGGAGCCCACCCCTGCTGCCACGGAGCGGATCCAGCTCTGCAGAGCAGCATTGCAATTACAGGGGGCTCAGAGGCAAAGCCGCAGTAAGAGCCAGCAAATGACTTTTCTAGTGCTTGAGAGCTTGGGGTGGAAGATGCTTTTCCCAAGGACTCCAGAAAAAGATCCCTTGTGCTTGGCTCCTGTGCAAGGTATTTAGCTCTCAGATTTCAATCTTAATTGTCATGTTCATGAGGGAAACTCCCTGTAGTAACCTGGTGCCTTCAGCGTATGAACAAAAAAGCCTACCAACACCATGTTCACTCTTCCTGGGATGCAGTCTCCCAGTGCTACCAAATGTCATTCTGCATCACTCCATGACCAGACTATTAAATTAAGATGGAAAAGAAAAACTTAGATGAGTTGGAAGAATTTTGGATTTTTATTTTTACAAAGAATGTTAAATAAGCAGCATCTTAGTATAAATTTAAGGTTGATGTAAACATACCAGATTGAGAAGAATCAAGGTCTCGTTTCTCCCAGTAATATTTGTTTACTTATGATCCTTTTACCCTATCATTTATTTGGGAAAGTGCACCTTTTGCAGCACAATAAAAAAGTAAAATACGTAGTGGCAGCGTGGCAGGTGCAACGCTTATTGGAAAAGCTGACTTTTCCAGTTTCTTGGTTTCCATTTATATTTGTAATTTAAGTTGTTCTAAGAGGCTTGTTTATATATATAAAGTCATAATTTGACATAGCGTTAAATCACACACTGAATAATTGTTTAGACTTTCGTGATTTTGCGCATGCTGTCTTGCTAGGGTGATATTTTTTGCATGGAAGTGTATGATCTCTATTTCCTTAACTTTGAATGGACTAAGGATAGCATGTGGCTCATCAGGTCTTTAGTTATATCTGACTATAAGTATATATGCGCAAGTACCAGTTCTAAGCAAAACATGGGCTAAAAAAAGCATTGAAGAGTTCGATAAGGATGAGTTTGAACTCCAGTCTGATTCAGAGATGATGGCGTTTTGGCTCAGACTGCTCCATTAAATTGAGTAACTTCAAATTTTTTTAATATTTTGCTTTGGTTCTTTAGAATAAATGATGCGGTATCTATTACAATAGCTTAATTTATGTAAAAAGGAGTACTGTTTCTGAGCTGAAAGCATGGTGGATAAGCTCTATCTGCTAAGCGGTAGTAACATCTTATCAGCCTGGACTGTGCTTTTAAAAGGGTTGGTCTTGTCTTCAATCTTCTGGGCTCTGGCTAAGAGAAAGGTAAAGTTTTCCTGGTTCTCTGTAATCTCATTTCCCTCTTCCAGTGGCAACAAATTTAAATTGCCTTAACTAAGATCTATGTGTAGTTTTGCTTATGAACTGTATCTGTACAGTTATTCCTCAAAATGTTTCAGAATTTATAACCAGTTTTTAAATTTGATTGTCGTTACCTGTGAAAGACCTTCTTAGAAAAGATGATTTACATTTAGTGCTTTAAATAACCTATTGAACATAGTAGATGCATGTCCTCTGATAAGCTGCTCCAGAAGATGGAACTTGGTACAGGAAAATCTCTATAGTGAGCATTCCCATAGACTCCTCTAAGAGTCCTTCATCCGATGTCTGCAAGACTGGTAATTGGTACTCAGACCCAAAATCCATCTTCCAACTAGAAACAGCTGAATACTTTTAGACCAGTTTCTCCTTAGTTTTAAACTCAAAATGAGATGGCAAGATATTTTTTCCATGCACTTGAATTTGTTATATGTAAGGGTGAAAAACTTCTATCTGCAAATAGACATGATCAGTCTGGTGTAGCTTTTTTTCCCTTTCTACAAAGCAGCCAACACAACCTAAAGTGATCTGCAAATGGGAAGACAAAATGCCTTCTCTGAATGCCTCACAACCTGAAAAGCAAGGAGGAGATAAGATATGAACACAAGTGATGGAGCAAGAGATGTTCAACACTGATCTGATTAGTTTCTTATTTCCCTTCTCTCCCAAGAGTCAGTCTATGGATGCTAAACTTGCGTTGGACTATTGAATTATTGGATTAACAGCTCTCTTCCAATACATATACAGCAGGATGGGGCCCACTGTTTGTGTTGAATCACTGGTATACGAAGTCCAGTCCCTTCCCTTCCTGTGGGCAGCTGATGAAATACAAATAATTTAGGGGACGGTTGAGGCACGTCTGAGGCTATTCTAGACTTGCTTATTTTGCTCGGAAACCCAACTTAGTCAGGGCTTTCAGAGTAAGGTGGCAAATGATCTCAGTGACCAGCTCATTACTATGGTCTTAAAGGGCATGTAATGCATACGTGCTTGAAAAATATGTCCAGAGTCACATGGAGAAGAGGTAGCTCCATAATGGAAGGTGACTCAGGTAAAAGATCTATTTTTTTATCACTTTCCCTTGCAGAGTCAAGGCAATGGATCATTTTCTTAGACCCCACATAAATCTAGCTCCAGGTCGTCCTCAGGAAAAGTAATGGGAAGTGAATTACCAGTGGCCTTTCATAATTGCAAATCCTTAATTAAGGAAGGGTACAAAGAGGCACTTAAAATGCCAGCCTCAGCAAGTAGCAGACTCCACTACTTGTGACAATAAATTATAACTTGTCAGAATAAAATTGTTTTTTCTTTAGTGTGGTTGGTAGTATTCAGTGACTTAAAATGAGATAAACCACATTGTTCTAGGGTGGAAGAAGATTCTCTTTCTCCTTAAAACTGTCTCAGGTGCAAAAACTTTGAAGACAGTGTCAGGCTTGTTGAGCAGAAGCTTGTGTGCAGTGTCAAGTGGATTTTAAATAGAGAAAAAGGGCTTAAAGAATATTTCTAGGCATCTCAACTATTCCTGAATACCAGCTTATCATGATGTTTATGTAAGTTTACTTTTAATTAGCAAGAACCTAGAGTGAATGGAAAATAGTGTAGACATACACTCTTTTAAGCATTTTGCTAGACAGGGCTCTTAATGTTTGCTTATTTTGTATTTTTTTCTGCTTTTCAAGTTTATGACTAGTTCTTGATGCCCAAAGTACTGTTTTGTACAAAAAAGCACTCTTTTCTGCTTCACTTCCAAAAGAGGACGTAGTCATGGTGAAGCAACACATTGTCTTGCATAAGAACTATATTGGACCTTGAAGGGGGAAAGATTTGCATTCTGAGTCTCTACTTCTATACCATGCACATCATTTACACCTGTCTAGATAAATGTGAACAAAAAGGCAACCATATTGTTGTTTGTACTGACTAAAAGCAGGGTATTTCAGGAACAGTAGATGTGCCAATAATGGTTACCAAGAACAGGTCATAGAAAAGCGAGTATAATGATCTTTATGAAGGTCTTTATTCCTTTAAATATGCTATTACTTTTCATAAAGGCACTCAGAACAGAATGCAAACAAAGACTCTTTTCCCATTAAAGCAGCAATTGTTAAATGAATAAATGAACAGTATTCTTATTTCTCCTGTTGGTTTTTTTTTGGTCAGGAGCTAAAGTCGGTCAGGTTCCACCTGTTTACCACATAAATTATTATTTTAGGGTGATTTGGGTTTTTTTTATTAATATGCTAAGCAAAATTATTACATTAAACTGCATAACTGTCTTTGCATACAGTTCCATATAAAATAATTAAAACATGAAATTGTATAACTGCAACAGTCTTCCCATAGAGGTAATTAATTTTAAAGGGAAACCCAGAAATGTAGATTGATTCCTGTTAATTACACCTCTCCTTCAAAACACAGAATGCTAAAGAAAGCCTTGAGCAAGTGGTGTTCTTGCTGCTTATATTTATAAGTGTTTTGAGTCTACATTTGTAAGGTCTTTGGCAGTTTCCTCCCACGACCACTCACTTTGGTTTTTTGTAGTATAACGTTCATAGTTGTAACCTCGTGTGTATAATGATGATAATCTTTCTCTGTGTTGGTTCAAGACTTGATAGCCATAAAGGCAAAACTCAATTTTACTGCTCAAGGTTAGGTGCGGGGCCATGCTGCTGTCGCTACAGGAAGGAAAGTAGGAAGGGGTAGGGTTGGAGTCTAGAGAAGAGGACCTATGGTGGCAAGGGGAGGGGGGGGAAGAGGCAAGCTTGCTCTTCCAGCTGCTCCTGGGAGGACACTGGGCTAAAATAAAGACCACTGCTTCTTCAGAGCAGCAGATTGCCCTCCGACTTCCCCAGCACGAGTAGCCACCCAGCAGCAGCAGCAGGCTCTTGGAGCAGCACAAAAATCAAATGTGCTTTTCCAGCAAATGTACAACTACGTACAAGGGAATGAAAAGCAAGGTCTTTCTTGCCCCCGACAGTTTCTTGCCTGCTTTCTGTGTGGCACATCTGCAGTGGCCCTGATCCTTGCAGCTGTGCTCAGAAAGCTTTGGCTCTTGTTTGCTCTTACTTTTTTTTGGCACATTATGAATTTTAACAGAAGGGTTTTTTTTTTAATTCCAGCAAATCTCCTTGTGAGTTGCACCATTACGCTTGCTGTTTCTGTGCAAAAAACAGTAGTATTCTGTAACTTTGTGTAGCAAAATACTTCCAAAATAAAAAATGACTTGTTGAAGGCTGGGATAATACCGTCCTACTGTATCAGGTTGTGAAGGAAGTCTTTTTGCTTGTAGTACCAACCAGCCTGGACAGTTACTTTCATTCCATTGAAGATCACAGAGGTATCGTTTTATTCTCTCAATGCGTGTCTATCAACAGTGATAGTCTTAGCATAAATCAGAACCTATTTTCTGCTATTAGTTTTTATTAGTTTTTTTTAGAAGGAAGAAATCTGAAGTCCAGCCATGTTATGGTTGGCAGCCTAGATAGGCCTTAGATCATAACTCGCTACTCAATTTTTACACTTAACTCTTCTATTCTGTTGTTTTTTTTTAAAATGGAAATTATTCACTCTTTTTTGCAGAAGTGTTAATTAATAGTCATTTGCTTTTTTTGTAGGAGTTCTCTGGAATCTATCCTCCTGTGATGCACTGAAAATGCCAATCATCCAGGATGCCCTCGCAGTGTTGACCAATGCAGTGATCATCCCTCACTCTGGATGGGAAAACTCTCCGCTCCAGGATGATCATAAAATACAACTCCATTCATCACAGGTGCTGCGCAATGCCACTGGGTGCCTAAGGTGAGTGCTGAAAAACATTTGCTTTACCTTAATCATCTTGCTTTGGCTTGACTTGGTATTTCTCATTCTTAGGTATCTGTAAAGTAAATAATTGGTTTGTGTGTCAGCAAAGACAATGACTTTCAGAGCTGTAAGCTTTAAGTTGGAGATTAATTAGAAAAAAAGCTTCAGGCCATTCAAAAAACAATCTTTAGAAGCGCTGCTGTGGGTTTTCTATTTTTCTTTTCTCAGCAGTCTTGACCAATCTTCTCATCCAAGCTTGTATATTACAGATGTTTTTCTCCTTGTAGATTCGTCCCATTTCCCCAGTTGCTTAAGTGAAGTCAGTATGTTCTCACTATTACACCCAATTTGATCAGCACAAAAAGTAATGAAGATGCTCACAAAAAGTAACATGCCTTACGGGTTCCAGATGCCGTTGCTGTAGTTATGATAAATATATAAAGTAGATTTTTTCTGCTCTGTGAATATGAGAAATGGATTTTAATAAGAGACCAACCAATTTAACATTGTGCAACTAGAATACTTAAATAGATCCTTAACAAGTATGATATTTATTTATATTTATATTTGTATGCCAAACATATATGCAACACCAAGGTGCACTTATATAAATATGTGCAATATGTTCCTAAAAATCAGGGTAGATGTGAGAATGAAAATAGGATGAGTAAGAAGAGTTTCAGTCTGACAAAACCTTACAAAAGAATTGAGTCATAACATTTCCAATCCATAGCATTTTGTTGAAATATTTTAAAATATTAGGCAAGTTCTTTTAAGCGTTGATTTTTTTTTTTCTTCTTGTGTATTGGAGATTCTGTAATCTATTTCAGAGACATGAAAATCAATTAGTTAGTATTTTTATGTACATCACAGGAAAATTGTTAAGTGAATAATATGTATCGGTAATACAGTCTATGTTGTATGCTGCTTCCAAAGCAGATATCCATCAAAGAGCTAAACAAAAAAAAAATTGATAGGAGGCAAAGTAAAATAACAGTATTTTTTTCATATCTGTAGCAAGCAGCTTTTTATCTTTGTGCTATTTTATCAAATGAAATATCTCCCTTTCAGAAGTAATATTTGAAAAGTTTAAGGGCAAAAGTAATAATTATGGATGGTTTATATGTAATCGGAAGGGAATGAATGATGGAAGGTAGTAACTTCCATATTGCAAATATACTTGTATTAGACTTAAATGCAGGTGTGTATATGTGAATACCAGCTATGTTGGGATATAAGACTGAAGCTAGTCATTTGTACCTGAGTTGTATTGATTTTGAAAAGAGTTTGGTAGTATAATTGTGTTGCATTGCATTTAAATCACTGGAAAAAATGTTGCTCAAATCACTGTGACAGCAGTCATTCCATAAAGACCTGTACCTTGTTATATGTCTCACAATTCTGATGTTTACCCTGTCTCAGTTGAAGAGCTGCCTCTGAAAGAAATGTCCATTATAAATTTGGGGCTTCACGGTGCCCCTTCTCTGAACAGGCATGTCTAGTGTTGGTCTCCCCACACTGTAAGTTCTGTCTTCCTGTTAATTTTTCCCAGCTGCTTCTCAGGGATTGGTGTCCATCCCTGATCCTACAAACCTCAGTTCTTCCTACTTCATAGTTGATGGATTCGTTGCACAATGGTCTTGAAATCTTTCTTTTTTTTTTTTTTTTGTGAGTGTATGTGCACGCCCATTTGCAAACTGATGTGAGCTTACTGTAGCCTGCAGTCTGGGTCAGCCTGAGGACTTGGGGCCACATGAGAATGGTACGTTACCTGATCTAATATACACTGCTTTGCAGCAAGGCTTACTGCCAAGTGCTTGATGGTACACTGTCATAGCAGAATGGCTTCTGGTCAGCTCATGCAAAATAAGCTCATATCTGCCTGCAAAAGACTGTGCATATTATAACTCTTGAATCCTTCCCAGGTAGCTGTAACAGCAACTCAAACGTCTGTCCTGAGCAGGTTGGTCTTCCTTCTAAACAGGCCCTTCAAGCATAGTATGGCTTTTTAATATCTTTCTGATATCAAACCCTCCCTATTTCCCAGATGCATCTTTCTGTCCTCTCTAATGGCTTCAGATATTTATTTGGCCTTCATCCATCTTCTTTAGATAATTTCATCCCACTTAGTCTGTGTGAATGCTCTTTGGCAGAGCCAGAACATTTGGAGAGGGTTGAACTGACTTTTGCTTCACACCAACAGGGAACTTTCTTGTTTACCTTTCCCCAGTTGTTGCTAGAAATCTCTCTCTGAACAAAATATCAAGTTCTGAGTTTGTGCAAGAGAGAAAAGTGGAAGTTGACCTCAGAGATGGTAACTGGGTTCTTGTGTTGAATTCATGTAAGACAATGAGGCTGTAGGCTGGAGGAAACGGCGAGCATCAAAAAGAAAAGATTAGAAAACTCTGTGGTGATGATTGGAGTTGCACATGCTCTGTGCAGGTAGTACCTTAGCTAGCATTCCTTAAATACCCACCACCCCCAAAACTGAACAGCTCTCACACTTTCCATTTGTGACTAGTTCCAAGCATCATATTTCCATTTCAAAATCTCACTGGACAAGGAAGGTAATGTAAATCAGGAAGATGTAATGTGGTTTCTGGCTGAGATAGTGCTGTGTTTATCTGGTAAATGGAAAGTCCGTTGTCATCTTCAATGCGAGATTTTCTTCTAAGACTCTTGTTTGATTGTCATCTGCTGTTTTCTTTTCCTCCTTTTGCTAGAGCTGGTTTTGGAAGGGACACTGGTTGAAATTCAGTTGCATTAGGATTATCAGTGATGATGCTCAGTATCATAGGAAAAGCAGTGCAGTTCAGAATACTTGACAAATGTTTCTGAATCTATAATGTTAACAGATTTTAGAAACATCAGATTGTATTACATAAGATTTAATACTAGCATATATGCCAGGAGGGTTTTGGGGGTTCTTTTCAGTCTCCTGTGCCTTTGGTTTTCTGATGCATTCACTGCTGAAAACTTTAATATCTGACAGGCAGTGTAATATAATCCATCCCATAAACAATGCTAATAAGTAGTTTGCAGTAGCCATTTTATAGGAATAGTGAGAACTTTGTTTTGATTTTTTTCACTACAGTATATGAATTATTATTCTTTCTGCCGATCTTCCCTTTTCTCAGTTCCTTGGTGAGAGTTTCTTAGCCTTTTGCCAGTTAAAAAGTTGCTTATTAACTACAATTTTTAGTACTCTTATCTACTTACTCATTATCATTCTTAACCAAGTTCTTAAGTCTACAACTCCAGTCACACAGTAGTCCAGCTGAAATCAGTATGAAATCATATGAAAGACAGGAGCAGCATCAGACATTCTTTTCCTGTTATTTTCTTTTATCCTTGAAGACATTATTTACAAACTGCACTTTGCATGCTTTTGTGATTTGAAAAAAGGAAATAGCTTTAATACAATATTGTACTAATTAATTTTACATAAGTCGAGTACTTTGAAATGGTTTAGATAATTCAAAGCTCTAAATACAGTGTTATACCTATCACTTATAAATTTAATCTTAATATTCATCTTTTGTAAATTGCCAGACCTTTGTGTGACATGTGTTAGAGTAATCACCCAATTAACTTGCCTCCCCACTGAGATACTAGAACCTTACCTCATTAAGCTCCGTGGAAGTTTGACTTCTTTTTTTGCTTTTGGATTTCAGCTGTGACTGCTTTATTTGTGTTAGGGAAATACTGTGTCTTTGGTTTATAGTTTCTGATTCTTTTAGACTTACCAAGGAAAGTCAGGTGAAAACTGAATTTGGAATACCAGTTGTTTATAGGGGGGATTTACAATCTCTAACCTGAAATTTAAAAATAACAGGAGACACATTGCATAATGTTGTCTTAATGTGAAGCATTAAGCTTACTTGTCACGAAAGCAGATCTTTGTTCAAAGACTATCTATCTGAGATAATCCCAGACAAAAATCTTTTCAAGAGTTTTTGTCCTGATGTACAGTCTGGAACCTTGATTTCTTCTATGAATTTAAGATGAGTTTAAGTTAATGGAATCTCATCTGAGGAGTTTAAAGAATTTTAAGATTTTACTGTTTTAAGATTCTAATCTGGTTTTAGATGCAAAATCATAAAATGCTGTCTTTTTTCTTTCTGCCATGTTCTATTTAATTTTTGATCATACACTGAAGGTACAGGGGCAGTTGTGAAAATCAAAGATCTATTAAATATTTATACCCCTCCTATTAGTTGATTAGAAATTGCAAGGGAGAGTAATTCAAGTAGTTTTTGTTTATAGAGCCCCATACCTTCCAAATTTTCATACCGTCATACTTGTCAAACCTTTCACAAAATAGCATGGATTGTTTTTCAACTAAAAAAATATATAGCAAGTTCTCAGAGTAGAAAGGGGAAAAGTGCTTTTGAAACATGAATTCAGTGTGACTGACCCAGGAGTATTTTCTGGGTGGATCAACTTTTGGAAGGAGCAAATTACCTTGTTAAAACAGTTCATGTTAATGGTAAAGCCTGAATATCAAATATTTCTAACTGTTTTGTGGATGAATGATCTCTTTCACAGACATTTATAGCTAACGCATTTATCCCACCATCTTATTTCTCCTCCAGTTATCTTCTAAGCATCCAAAGTCTATTGATTCCTATTCTTAGGAACTTCTATAATCTGTTTTGCATATAACATTCTGCTGCATACTGACAAAAGATGCGGGAACAGCATAAAATAAATAGCACAGACTGTATTATTCATGATCTGTTTAATTTCTAGAAAAACATAGATATGTATGAAGAAACATTTGTGTGTATATATATATGTGAAACATGTTTCTTAAGAAACTAAACTTACATATTTACGTATGTGCATGTGTATATGTGTGTTTATGTGTATATGCATACAGATATAAAAGGACTGATTATTGAAGCTAAAATATGTTTCTGTCTTTACTGACTGATGCAAGCTCTGAATATCTTCAGAGGGTATAAACATATATGGCTACAAACATATCTGGCTTC